AAATGTATTTTCAAGAGAAAAAAAATTAATTGCTTATTTTAAATTAACCTCAGAAAACTGACACTCTCTGTTAAAACACGAGTAACTTTTTCATATTTTTTAGATGAAAGTACACTTCTTAAATACATTTGCTCTTACACACACGCTATGCGCACGTAAATAATGCATGACAAACGGTCGTAATGTCTCACGACCGTAAACGACTGTAAACGAGCGTAAAATTACGCTCATGTACCGGCGATAATAATTAGCCGGCAACGGAAGGAATTTCTCTCCTTCATTGATCTCTGATAGAGGTCGAAGTTACATCTCTGGCTAGATGTAGCCAGAATGAATATGGCCAGGATCAACGAAAGGTAGGTCCAACTGGCCCAACAGAAGCCACATACGGTGCATCCTATTAGGGCACGCGAATAGGATACATGAGTAGGGCGCGCGAGTAGGGCATGCGAATAAGGCACGCGAGTAGGGCACGCGCTTAAGACACATTCCCCAAAATTTCGGTGATCCCGGATTCTCGCTGGCTTAGCCAGTAAAAGTAGGGTTGTTAGGACTATCTATTAGGACTATCTTAACTTAAGATAGTCATTTAATTCTTTAAGCGTTTAATTTCTTAAAATTCTTAGGAAAACTAAAAAATAGGATTCTTTTAGGAAAAACTAAAAAGTGAAAATTAATTATAAAAAAATTATAGAAAAATTGAAATTATTAACTTTTCTACAATCTAAATTAAAAATTAAATAGTAGAAAAATTAAAACTAATTATAAAAAATTTCAAAAATAACATACACGTGCTACATCTTCTTTTATAAATCAAAAATTGTATATATATTTATTATGTACAAAATAAAATGTAATACGCATGTGTGTTACATTTTATGTTATATATTTAAATTTGCATATATATTTGTTATATTTATAAATTTATGTAATATTGAATTCTTGAACTAAACGCTGTCAATATCAATTATTTGAATTATTAGATATATCGGATATATCTATTTGATACTGATAGCATCAGTAATTATAAATTGTACTCTAATTATAATTGTACAATAATTAATTGTAATTATTATTGTGTTAGAATTGTAATTTATATGTAATTATATAATTGTATTGATAATATTATAAATTATATGAAACTTCCTTTTTTTTGTAAATTACACGAAAATTTACCGAAAGAACATATATAATGACAATATAATAGAAATCCTAAATTAATATATTTGTTAATTTTCAATTTTTATATATTATTTGTTGTTTTCATAATATTTATAATTTTATTATTAAACTTAAAGCTTGTGTTTTCATACCAAAGAATTGTTGATATATATAAATTCGGGAAATTTTATTTCAAACTTTATAAATATCATGAGTATCGCTAATTATTCTAGTATTTAATAGAAAAATTATTGGATAAGAATGTGAAGACTCGATGTTAAGCTATCGATTAAATATTAGTTTTTCGTTCATGAAATTTGACGACTGCCTTCGACAATGCAGAATCGCGAGAAGATTATTCCGAATTTTACGATTTGATTTTGATTTGATTGATATTTATGAAATATAAATGTTTTATTAATTTTATTTTAATATAAATTATATATTATTAAATTATATATTATTATTAAGAAAATATTATATTATTATAAGAATCTCAATCAATTAATTTTGATTGATAACTTGGCATTATATTAATTCAAGTAAAGATATGTATATTAAAATAATGCATGACAAACGGTCGTGATGTCTCACGACCATAAATGAGCGTAAAATTACGCTCATGCACCGGCGATAATAATTAGCCGGCAACAGAAGGAATTTGGATTTTATATTTGTATGTTACAGACAACGTAGCCTCAAGACCAACAACTCCGCTGTTGCGCATCAGTGCCGGTGAGTGATAAACTTTATTTTCTTTAGAGGTAACGGATTCGTAGATATTGTAGATATAAATGTAGATTGTAGATTATAAATAAATTCGTTGCCTCAAAATGGATGGGCTAGAATATATTAAATTATATAACTTTCAATAGATTTTTTAAATATAGATTTTTTATATATATTTATTGAAACATGTTAAAGTATGAATTAAAGCAAAAATTTCAAAAAGATGTAAAATATTTTTTTAACGCGGCGATAACGCAATGTTTTTATAACGGTATTTTAAGATTTATAAGATTTTATCTTGTTTAGGCAATCCTCCGCGAAACGGTACTTATATTCTTATTCTCAATCGCGAAATTTGCATAAAATCACGCATTTGAAAATAAATCGGGCATTAGATTTTTTACAAATATCCTGTTACAGATGCGATTATAAAAAGCGTTTTAAACGTCTGTCGAAATTTTCGTATAAGTATGTAGTAATTATATCGTTTCTCTGATTGTTCCAAAAATTATATATCGTAAAAATATAATTATCATCGATTTATTTATTCGTCGCGTTTTTTTCGCAAATTTTAAATCGCGGTTTGTTGTTTTTCTTGTGATTTAATCGAAGCTTACATTACGTTGATTTACATCGAAGCTTCGTCTATCCTTTCTCGAATATTTTCTTTGAAAGTCTGCGCAAAATGCGCCAGTAGACCAAGTACTTTTTTATTAATCAGATTCTCTCAAAATCTATTTGTGATCAAGTATATATTCATCGTAAATTGGGTTTAATCGCTCTCAAAGCGATCAAATTTGCTTGCTCGAAAACGCTAATAGTTACTGGTAGGGTCACCCATGCCGGACAGGTCGAAGGGGAAGAGTCAGACTAAGAGAGATACTAACATAGTTACATTTTTTATATTAATATTTTTAAATAAAATGAAAATGAAAAAGACAATAATAGAGAAAAAGGAGTTTTAATCGTTTTTTAAATTGATGTCGTACAAATACATATCTAAATTTTCCAAAAAAAACATTTTCGCATTTCTGACCTTTTAATTAAAATTTAGAGTGGAATTTCACAAGATAGAAAAACACAACATATTATACGCTAAAAAAACAATATTGCACAAGATATCGCGATTTTTTGACACTTTATAACATTTTGCGAAAATCTGACAGCGGCGATCATATAAACGTGAAAAAATTAATTAATGCTGTCAACAATTAAAACTTCTTAAAAAAACGATAGAACATGATTAAAACTATAAGAAAAATTAATTATGCTTATATAAATTTGTCTATGTATTAGCTTTTAATGTGCATCGATGCGCACTAGTGCATCCAACTGACTTCATAAATTAAAAAATTAATTGAATAATATAATAATAAAATTAATAATAAAAAGCTATATAAATTAAAAGCATGATTTGATAATAGTCAAAATGCTTAATAATTTTGTTTCAAGAATAAGAAAAAAGTGAAAGCAATTTATTATAAATATCTTTTACACGTTATATTTGAAAATTAGGGAAAAAGTTATTAAGAAAATTTTAATTTAAGAAAATTTATTTCATTTTACATGCGCATATACATAAAAATATTTCAATTATAACTTATTATCGCTGTAGTATATATTAGAATGACAAAACACCACGGACAGCTAATAACATTAATAAATCCATAATATTTCTCCGCATTTTTAATCCACATATATATACATTTAGCACGGACATGCACCAACCGGCCGTTTTACCGTGGCGAAAAATGAATCTGGCCATGTAATTCCGCCGGCTCTAAAATGTATCTGATTGACGCTACTATACGGCTGGGTAAGAGCAGTGATTTTCATTTTCCTTAGGGGGCAACATTTTGGTGCCTTTATAATTGCAAATTTGGCGCTCCATCCATTTGTGCGCCCTACGCTCAAGCGTACACTGCGTACCCTATTGCAAGCCGCCCCCCCCCCCATCCCGCAAATAGATCTATTAGAGCTCATTCTAAAAGAGATTCTGAATTTTTTTGCATGCTGAGCTTAGTTTGGTAATCAAGTCAACCATTCTCTGGTTCCATTCCTCAAAACGCTTTCGCATCTCAGCTAACAGCATGTCTTGATCTTCTTTAATTTTCTTTAAAGTCCGATTAAATTTTTCTAAGTTGATCGAGCTATAATCGTTGTAATGTGGCAGTGCAGAGTTATTTCTACTTGGGGAGATCACGACCTTACCAGGTATATTTTACGAATCCACGATTTTAATCATATGTGTGCAAATATTGAATTTTAAATCTGGCCAAATCTTTTCATTAAAATACTCCATGGCTCTAATGCTTATATCCCACAGCCATTGAAGTATATCATATGCTCTAGGTGGTGTCCTTGTTTTTCGAATTAATTGAAGGATATGAAAAATTTCATCAATTACCTAATGCATAAAGAAAATGCAAATTAATCCTAATTGCAATGTACTTGTTTAATAGTGATAACTATAAACAAGACGCATGCAAAATTTATTTAAATTGTCTTTTTTTTATTATGCATGAGAAATATTCCAAATATGCATATACGATTCTATATATTTAAAAATCTCATCATAAGAGAAATTAGACAAGATCGCCTCCAAACAAACATCAGGAAAATTTATCAATGTCAATTGCATCGTCAATTGATCGTGTTCTAAATTTTAAAATTCACTGCCAAAAAGGAAGGATTTACTTGTGCGAATATCATCGAAACCCGCTCTGTACAAACGCTTGCCGTCCCTACAAAAAAAAAAGAGGAGAAAGCCGGACGTAACGTTTTGAAATTAGCGCCAGTATTCCTTGTTCTGATTGGTCAAGGTCAAACTTTGCAATAGTAATTCGCGGACATAGACATAGTATATCTAGACCGAGCGTAGCGTTTGCCTTTCTCGGTCTAGATATACTATGTCTATGAGATATACTATGTCTATGATACCAGCTATCTCACTGGCCGCGTTCAACAGAGAAAACCGCTTAGTAGCAATCGAATGTGATTGGTTCTTACTTTTAGAACCAACGAATCAACGTCAAGTGTTGACAAGACGATAACTGAGCGCTTTCTCTGCTGAACGCGGCCATTGGTAGATTTATCGACACGCATTCACGTAGAATCTTTAAAAGCGTGCTTCCCGAACGCAGCCATCATCAGCTGATTAGTGATTAGTAGTTGCTTTCCATTTACATCAAAACTCAGATAATTCTCTCTTGTGACGTCATAACTCAGTTGAATGCACGTTCCTTTTGATGCTAGCAAGTGAGATTCAACTGAGTTTTTACGTGGTTTCTGCACACGATCGAGACATCGAGACCGTGTGCTTTAGTGAGTCTAATAGACTCACATTAAAAGTGAGGTTATGAATCTATATTGTTATATGATAGCTTTGTTACCAAAATAAGCAGGTCAATGACATAATTGTCTGAGTATGAAATACTCACATAACTGAGTGACTCAGTATCACTTGAGTGCAAATGGAAAGCAACTAGTATCTCATGTTATTATTCTACTTGTTTGTTTATATCTTATGTAATTACACATCATTCAGAATCGAGAAAGATATGCATGATTAAATGTGATTTAAAATAAAAAAATAATACTATGAGTGAGGTAAGTGAACCGAGTGACATTGAAACGTTTGACAAACAAGATGATAAGGATGCGGACTTTAACGTGGACAATTATCGTCAAGAAATGGATAGCGATGATTCCTTTATCGAAATGCCAGAGAATAACGCAAGGATAAATATTCAATTTAATTCGCTCAGATTTTGATGCAAATGCACTCACATTTCATGCCTTTATGCATAAAGATAAAAGTTTTTTATTTATATTTGGAGAGGGTATAATTTAAGTTTAAACAAAGTCTGTGGCACAAAATCGGAATGAGTGTATTTTATCAAAATCTAAGATGAGCAGATTAAATTAAAGATATTTATTCTGAATAGTATCCTGTTACAGATACAGATGAATAAACAGGATGGCCAGTGTGCAGGCCCAGTTATTTCTGGACACAAATTTGATAAGAAGCTGATATGCATTAAATATCCGGGTAACATAGTTAATGTTGATAAAGCAATCGAAACATTAGGTGGCATTAGCTCTATTTCTATGGTACGTGATACAAATTATACATTTCATATTCAATTAATTATATTAAATTACTTAATTACATATATTTGGTCATTTAACAGACTGTAGATGCTCCTAATAGGAGATTAGAATTGCGGTTTAGACCTGATGATGGATATAGCAAACCTGCCTGTGGAGATAGACATAGTACAATTGGTTTTTTACTTAGAGTTAGGATAAAGAAAAATAGGGTAACACAAGCAGATATGACAGAGGCTACAAAATCAAAATGTATGGATGCTATAAATCTGAATGCTACAAATCTAGAAGCTACTGCATCTTGCATTATTGGTAGCAAAGAAAATCTTAAAACATCCCATTTGGTGGAGGATGAACAGATTAATAGTGCATTTAATGCTACGATAAAAGAGGACAGCTGCAAAGATAATGTTAGTATTGAAGATACTGTAGACAAAAGATGTACTGCAGATAACATTAAAAATATTGATGGTACACATGAAGATAAAAGCTCGCCAAAAAGAAAAAAGAATGTATTGTCTACATTTGACAATAACAGATATGAAAATTTATCCCAAAAGACAGATTATGAGTTACCATGTTTAAAAATATTAGGAAGAGTCGAGACTGAATTCAAATTTACCAGTATGTTCAATAAATTATGTAAAATATTCTCTATATAATAATTCCAATCTTTTTTTCTTATTTAACATATTCTTCCTTTTTTCTTTTAGATTTATGCGATTTTCAATATGTACCAATGACACAGAGCAAATCAAATCCCAAAAAATTGGAATGCATATATAGCTCGATTTATCCGACAGGTATTCCACCTTATTCTTGGTTGAAAAATGACGTGCCTTATTTTCTACCACCAGCCGCGTTCAGCAGAATGGACACTGTGCAGCAATACATACCAAAAACTGAGATAGATTCTAACTCGGAGAATATAATTGGTAAAAACAAAAAGTGTCAAGCGGGCTTTCCCAATTATATATACTTTTCCACGCTAGGGGTGCCCACCGCAGCACCAAAAGGCATTGAAACAGCTATGAAAGTAAAGTTCCTTCAAAATGCACACTTGGAACAAGTGCGCCAACTTTTTGAGGAACGTCCAATTTGGTCCAAAAATGCTATCATGTATAAGACACAATATACGTCTGAACAATTAAAGATATTATTACCGTCAGTGGCATATTATTTTATGACCGGACCATGGAGAATCATGTGGGTGAAACTTGGTTACGATCCAAGAAAGGATATTAATGCGAGAAAGTATCAGACGTTGGATTATAGATTAAAAGCTATGCGTAAGTCATATATCGATTGCCAAAGATATTTAATATTTTATACAATACAAGAATATTCTATAAAAAAGATTAAAATTTTTGTATGTGATCTATAGATGGATTAGGTTTGACCGTCAGATGCAAAAGAAATTATTCAAATTATACATTACCATACAAATCTGCGCCCGTTTCTAAACAAAAACCTGCTATACTCACTGCTACCCTGAGTCAGCAACAAAACCCGAAGAAAGAGCGGCATTTACACGAGAATGTGTATATATACCGAGAAGGCATGGTACCTCCTTCCCGACAAATGTTTTATCAGGTATTTGTCAATTTCTTTCTCCGCAGCATTGATAACTTATCGAAAATACTTGGTTTTGTGCAATAAATAAAACTATCTTTATTTATTCTGTTATTAGTATTGTGACGTTCTAATAGGAGAAATACAAGAAATGTTGGCAAAGCTCCCTGATCCCTTACCTGGTATAAAATGTCATGAGAAGAGAGGATGGCTGCCAACTGGTTTTGATGTACAATGCAGAGAAATTTTAAACAAACAAGTGCGCGCCGTTCTGAGAAAGAGGATGAACATTCCTGAGGATCGTATGTATTTGTTTAACTTCATTAAAATTATGTTATATATATCAAGAATAAATTTATATACTTTTTTATTATAGATCCAACATCGCTTCCAAGGAAACGGAAACATGGCATTAAATTAAAAACTAATAAAACGATTAATAAAAGAACGAGAAAAGGCAAAGCGAATTCTACAGAGATTCAATCAAATGTTACTCCTACTTTGGAATTGAATGTGATTAATGAAGATTTGAAACCTGAATTTAAATAATTAAAATTATAAATATGCAAGAAAAAAGTCTAACTACATTTTTTTGCTAGATACCTCTTGAAAAATGCATTGAGGTGTAATATCCTAAATTAACTTGACATTTGTTTACAAAGCATTAGATTTAAAGTTTTACAGAGATAATTATACTTTTATATATATAAAAGTATGTTTATCTGTATATATACACATATGCAGATATATGTAAATGTAATATATATGTATGTATGTGTATGTGTATATATATAAAATAAATATAATTATCCTTAATTAAAAATTATAGTATGAATTTCTTCGTTTTACACATATAGGCCTATATATACAAACATCAAGTATCCAATTGCACACAGATTTGTGTCATGATGAATGAATATCTACATATGATGCATTCGACATGGAAGTTGAGGTGTGAAGGCATACATGGCGTCTAAAGTATTTTCATCTTTTTTCACGACCATAATTAATTTACACAATTACATCATCTTCCAGATGCATGATCACAATCGCTTTAGACTTTGTAAAAATGGCCAAACGTGTGATATACTATGTGATATTCCTCGCTCGGAATCTAAAGATGCGCCAGTACTTCGACAGCAGTTATGGGTGGTGTTTGATCACCGCTGAGAATAACTGGCTCGGATTCAGTTTGAACAATTCTAACGAGATTCGCGTCCTTTTTCGAGGGTACTAGAGTGGCATTCGGTGTGACATTCGTTTCAGCGCAATAACTCGGTGGTCGACTCTCCCTCGTTGTAGCAGGAGCCGCGATACTTCCTGCGTTCGATCTGTAGGTCGGTGGCGGCGACGTTGTAGGTTGCAGTCGGTCCAACAACAACAGCCGAAGTCTATATTCTTGCATACTAGCCTGTAACGAAATATATAGTTTGCACATTATATAAATTTTTTTATGATCAAGAGACGCAACAGCATCTCGAACACCAAGTGTGTGCGTGCGCGCCAAGAATGTATTCAGATAAAAAAAATCAAGTGTTTGAATGAATATGTGATACAAATAGCACCAATTTGTATACATCTCTAAGATTTTTTAGAAAGCATATACAGATTATTAGTTTTCATATCATTACACATTTAATTGGTAAAAGTATCTAAAAATTGAAATCGAATATTGAATTCGATTTTTTTTCGGATACTTTTTACAGATTACAGATTTTATCCTACTATATGCTATTTTACCTGATAACTCGGTGGTGGGGTTCTAAACTGGAATTCCGGATAAAGCATAGCGGCATACGGATGTATCGGTCTCATAGGGGGTATCCTACCGGAAATGCCTGTGAAACCAAAGAAGCTGCCACAGTAGTCTTGGTTGGTCAATCGCCATGCTACTGCACTCACCAATACCAGAAGCACTCCTATACCTTTAACAGACAATACATACTATTGTAATAATAATACTTATGTAATGCCATTGTAATATTATGTAATAGCTTTTATAATTACAATACGAAGAAAGTAATCTCTCTCTAAAATCTTCACATTCGTCCTAATATTCGTTTATAATAGATTTAAACAGTTGAAATATTTATAGATTACAGTCTGGTTTTTAAGTGAAAGTAAAAAAAAAGACACATAAATTGCAGTGTTTATCTAGTCAACCAGCAGCGATATCTGTTTCTCCGATCTACGAGTACGTCACTCCTTCGATCTCACGGCCCTTCTATGTGTATAAGTGTACGACATCGATCTCTCTGTAGGTTAGAGCATTCCCCTATTGTGAGAGGCATTCTGAGCAGGTCGCAGGTTACATGCTTACGTTTAGAAAGTAACTGTTGCAAACTCGAGTTTCCCTATCCTCTTCTTCTGTCCCTTGCTAGACTCTGTCGCCACGTAAATTTAATTGGTCTTGGCACTCTACATAATGATTATTAAAGCGATTTTTTTTTTACAGTAAATTTCAAAAACTTGTAAATAAGACATTTATGTGGTTTCTCTTCCACAATTCTTTCTCTACACAAAGAAATTTATATTAAAAAAAAATTCAAGAATAAAAATAATCGCTAAGTCGGGAGAATATAGCAAATAAATGAATATACGCATACTTGTTTTTGAACTGAAAAAATTGAAATTTTCGCTAAAAAAAAGTTTTTTCGAAGACATCGAAAATCTATAGCTAAAAGAAAAAATCGTAACTGACATTTAAGTAATTTTGAGAAAATAAGCATTACAGATTTTGAAATTAAACGTATAGTAACTCTAGTTCTGAATAAAATCATTTCGGCCGAGTCATTTTTAATTCTCGAGTTTATGATCTTTCAATCCTCCCGAGTATATATTTAATTTTCGTGAAATATTGCCAATAAAGATAAACTACCTCTAGAGATATACATTTGTTTCATATAGTACAGCAGTACATACAAAAGGCTATGACTATACAAAGATTTCTTGCAAAATTTTTTCTCACATCAAGATAATACCTTCACAAATCGTTCCAGTCGCTGGTTGACTGTGTCATTTATTTGCTATATTCTAAGGAGGAATATATTATGAATAAAATAACAATTTTTTATCGTATAATCACACATACAAACATATTGTAGTCTTTTTTCCTTAATAAAATTAGCTTCATTATTTTTAATCACCGGATTTTGTATCTTTTTACTACAATCTCGCATATCGGTAATCTCGAATAAGGAAAATGTGTTTCCTTACCGGACATGAATATTCCCACGAGATGATCACGACCGGAAGCTTTGAGAGCGCCTAGGAGAGTGCCAGCACCGGCGCAAACTAGACCCACGAAACCAACACCCAATATGGACCAGCGTACAGGCGGGGAACTTAAGCCGCAGCACTGTTTCGGAACTGCATCTCTGTGACACAAGAAGTGATCGTTGAGTGACCCACTGACATACACTCGTCTCGTGATGATCATTTAGTGTGCGCACACTGTACAACGCCAGTCGTAAAGCTGTGTACGATCATATAGCTCGTAAATGAGATGTACTTTCGGATTAGAAACGCCTGTTTGTCCCGTATAATTAATTAGAAAATTTGAAGTTACATTTTTATCAGTTATTTTAATGTCTCGCAACGTGTTATTTATTTGTTAACTTTACATTTATCTTTCACATATACCGTCGAATTAAATACAGCTTTAAAATGTAACGTCTCTCGCGGAAAAAAAGTCAAAAATAACCGCGACTCACCTGCCGAAGGCAGAAACGCTGGCGGGTACAGGGAAGGGTAGGCCGAGGCTGAGACCTCTGAGACCCAAGTGTGGGGGAGGAGGATGAAGGAAACCTCTAGGGGGTGGCACCAACGGCACTCCCAGCGCGGTCGAGACTGTCTGACAGCCTGGCGCGGTTCCGGGATACGTTGTCGGTATGGAACAGGATCTCAGGGCACGACGATGTTGCCTTCGTAACCGTCGTTCTCGCCTACGAGCGTCTCGGATGCCATTGGGAACCTCCTCGCTCTGACTCGCTTCTGGTCCACCGTGAAGCGCCAGCTCCGTCTGCGCTTCCGTCGAAGTGAAAGACCGTACATTGTCCCGTGTCGTTTCCTGAAATGCAAATAGATTATAAATTTTAGTGCAACGATTCGATCGAGCCGTGATGCGAATTTTGGGATTCGGTTAGAACGATTTTTTCCTCCGCTTATAAGATAGTGAATTATCTCTCTCCCCGCTTCTTCCCTTGAACGAGGAAGTCTCGAGCTCTTATCTGATGCCGAAATAGCTGAATAAGCTCATAAAATGTCACTCTATCTCGCTCGCTCTCATTCTCGTCTCATTCTCCTCTTTGGCGAGTCGCCCAAATAGTTCCAGGAAAATAGATACGTTCGTATTCTAGTTGAAAGATTATGATCGCTCCCGAACAGCAATTTTATATAACCAGGGAACATTGTATTATAAATGTTGGAGTAGATAAAAATTTTTCCGATATTTATATATATATATAATCGGAAGAAACGAATGTCCGCATGAAAGAATGAATCGAAAATGGAACAAATTTTCTTTCGAAGCTTTGTTTTCGAAAAAATAAGATTGGTAAATTCGAGATTATATACAGGGTGTCTGCTCAAATTTTGTAAAAAAAAATCCTTGAAAATTCCCTGATCTTCCAGATTTTCGTTTAAAATTTCAAGTAAAGAGAATACTTTAAATGCATAATTCATTTGGCTTGCCGACTGTTTACGATATGGAGCAAAATTATCAAAGAGAGAATTTTTTCAAAAAAATTCTATGAGAGTTCTCTGATATTTCCACAAAAGAAATCCCTGACAATTCCAAGTTTTCCATATTTTTCCGGAGAGCAGACATCCTGTTATATAAAAGTAAAGCCTCCTCTACGTTATATTTGTACATAATTTCCAATCATTCACTCATCAATTCATCTTGGCCAGATGAAGGGGATTTAACAGCTGCTATCAAACTCTAAAGAGAAAAATAAAATATTTCAAAAATTATTTTTCGTTTCTCAGTGTATATATAATTGAGCGAACGGTGATTTTTCGGTGACTAGATGATTACACGTGAACATATAATGTCAAAACGAGAATTGAAAAACGGTACCTGTGTTCTGTTCACGTCGCTCCTGACGTTATCCACAGCAGCGATGTCGACGGCGACGACGCTCACAGCCCTCGGGACATTCTCGGACAAAACCTCGGCCATCATACGGTCTTGAGCATTGGTGTGCGTATATGTGTGTATCCACACTCCACGGTATAAGATATATACATATATCTTTCCGTTTCGCGCACACAATGCGTAATCTTCACTCTCGTCCCGATCGTCTTTCGTGTCGCGTCTCTCTTCGATCCCACTTGATACTTTTAACCAAGTTCCTCTCTTTTCATCAATCCACTTTTCCGTTCTCTCTTTCGTCTCGTCCTTCCTGCGTTCGTTTTTACGACACGACTCCCATTCTCTTTTATCTCCGCATCACCTGGCTCGCGTTGATCTCCGATTTGCCATTGAAAAAAAAATCATCAATGCTTAACGACTAATTGTAATTAATACTCAAAGTGTGCGCAGGATTTGGGGGCAACAATGTCCTTTCTCTCCTTTCGTTTCTCTTTTCACCTATTAACGCGAGTTATATATATACAATTATAAAATTTACGAGAAATATAAGTTCATAATAAACCTGACAATCGCAATAAAAAAAAAAAAAAAAAAAATAATAATAATAATAATAATAATAACAATAAAATTAAATTAAATTAAAATTAAAAAAAAAACGAATATTGGAAATATGTCTAACATTGCTATCATCTACCGAAACAAAGCCACAGTTCATCGCGAAATCCTAAAGATCCAGTCTCCGCAACAAATAACCGTTCGCTTGAACGTGTGTGTACACCTAATGCAGTCTCCGAGAACCTACGGTATTCCGTTCACTCGCTTGAGAGCGGCATCGTAAGTGGATAAAGAGTTAGTTCTTGCCATTGCGGCGTGGAATTTCCGTGTAATGCAATTTCTTCGAAACGCACGTTGCTTCGAAACCGCGATCATCTGATTCCGCGCGATCTAAAATTGAAAACGCTTCGATGCTCCTCGGATCGTAACAGTTCTATGCAAATGTAACTTCTGTGTTCTTTTAAACGACGACGTTTAAGTTCACGTCAACTAGATCGATTCGCCTGAGAGCACACGTGGGAGAAAGTAGATTCAAGCGCGCTTGAGAGCTGGCCTTTCTCGAGTTACTATTGCTTCACTTACTTGTATTTTGTCGATGTAATCGTTTATCGAAAATTTTAATATGAAAGAACACTTTTTTCTTTGTCTCCGTACTCTTTCGATTTATCTACGGAATATCAAAACTCCACTTGTGAGCGAAAGGAAAATAAAGGAAGTAATATGTATATTGTATATTTTATCCGATATATACTTTTTATGATTTTTATTTATATATGTGTTTTTATTTCTGTACTCTTATTTCTTTAATTCTTTCTATTCTTTTTAGCTCAGCACAATATGAAACTTTTCAACTTAATGTTACTGAATTATTGCACAATAGTATTTTAATTATTCGCGACTAATTCAATTTTAAAGGCATAACATCAAGATAAATTTTGCTATAAATTATTCTACGTAAAAAATAATAAATACGAAAATAAAGTTAATATTTTTTTTTCGTACGATTTAACTAAAAAAAAAAAAAAAAAAACGATTTCAAGAGAATAAAAATATTTGACATTTTTTGTTTGTGAATTGAATAACTTGTTATTACATTACATAAATTGTTTTATTTATATTTCAATAATAATTATCAATTGAATAAAAAAATTCAACATATTATTTTGAAAAATATAATAAAGAATAATTCAAGTTACATGAAATAAGTTAATTGAAAAATATTCAGTATTAATATAATCTTTTCATATTTTGTTTAATATATTGCATTTTTATTCATATTCTGGCGTATGCCATTAAAAACTTATGCAAGTTGATTAAAAAATAGAAAAATTAATAATTTTCAAACGATTTTCGAAGCAAAGTTTTATATAAAGATAAAATCGTGCTCCAGATCTTTTATTTATTTAATTTTTTCTATATAGAATTATTTTCTTGACCGATATCTATTACTGAAGCTATTATCTCGACTAAACGGTTGTAATTTTTTTTTCGTGCAATTTTCTTTGTTTGAATATCAAAACAAATCAATGGAAGCAAAAAAAAAAAAAAAAAAGGCCAAGTTAACTTTCTAATAAAATTCAACGAAATCGAAGTTCGTAGTTAATCGAGTCGTGGTTATTGAATAAAAAAATGAATCCCATGGATGAGTTATTTTTCCATGATGAAAAAAAGAGAGGCCGAGAAGAAAAAGAAATTTTTATAGGAATTGCAAATTCAATGAAGCCAAACCAATCCAACTCGTCTATATCGATCTCTATTTTAATCGACCATGCGTGAAAAAACAAGTCCTTGCGAGAGAGCTGTTATTACGTACGCGACACGATGTAATATTAAAGAAAATAAAGAAAAATAGAATATTATTCTCTATTAAAAGAGAGAGAGAGAGAGAGAGAGAGAAGAAACTTATATTCTCTATTGAACTCTGAACTTTATTCGGACAATGATAGAACTCGATAAAACTTGTATCGCAGACAGAGCTCTTAGAGAGTGGATGAGTTGTTACTTTCGAGAGTAAGAAACGAGAACGCTTTTTACAATCTCGAGATGGATCTTTGATTTTTTGAAGAGAGAAGGAATATCCTTTACAAAGAGACGATAGTGTCCTACTAATGGTTAAAATCTTTACGACAAAGGGATTTCATCCTTTTATGGTATTAAATCAGGAAATGTCAGCGTAAAAGGGTTCTGGGAGCATATTTGGAATTTTTTAATTTTAAGAGAGTTTTGACAAACACGAATCTTTTTTCTAACACATACATATATGACTACTTTCTCATTTATACATATACGATGACATTTAAAAATGTTTTACTGAAAATTTAACTATTTAAAATAAGCTCTCTCTCTCTCTCTCTCTCTTTTTCATGTGATATTTATAATAATCCTGAATGAAGTGGCGCGACAAGAGTGCACTTTTATCGTGACAAGAATACAAGCGCAGGCTTGTAGCGACGTGACACGACGGAGACCCCACGACTCTCACGTCACGTACGTTCGAATTATTGACAAGTGCCCCCGGAGAGCGTGCGAGGGTAAAACCGAGTAAAAAAAAACTGATAAACATATTTGCGTGGGCGGCGCGCACACCCATTGACCACGAACGAACGGTAAATCAGGCGAGAGAGCCTTTTTAACCTGATTGGGGTCGCAGCAGATTTCCCAGCGGGCCGCGCGCGTATCCGTATTCGAAAAAGCAAAAGGAATCACTCGCTGGAAGTGCCTATATCTTCCACGGCGACACGAACACTGCCACGCTGACGCTGGCTCGGATGGAAAAATCACGACGATTGCGACAGCAGGACGATTCCTTTTGTGCGATCGTCCTCTGTCGAGATCGCGCGAGAACGAACCTAACACACGACCGCGAAACAATCCTTACCAGGTTAGCGGCTCCACTGACTCCGTTGCTGGACGAGAGACGAGACTGCGACGTGTAGCTGTAGCCGCGACTCACACCTACACAATCGCGCGTCAAACACATCGATTGCCAAGCGCCAATCGCGTCGCGTCTCCGGTTGACGAGGGTACCTCGGTGTCCACTGAACGTGTGAGAAAGACGGAACGAGTACGACGCACAGTGGTGCCGAGACCGATGGACGAAAGATGTTTAAAGGGGATAGCTGATAAAAAGAAAATTCTAAGATTTTTGAACCGAATGTCATATGACTTTATTTAACAATCGGGAGAAAAAATTCAATATTTCAGAAATTTTTGCAAATTCGAGATGACTGAATTTTTTTTGTAAAATAAAAATTTATACATAAAATTATATTATTTTATTTAGTGAAAAATATTATAATTTTATTAAGTAAAAAATATTGCACACATAATTCAAAATATTTCTCGACATATATATTGCTACTCGAGAAATGTTTTTATCTCACGATTTTTTATTGTACAATCATTTGAGTATTATAAAGACATCTCCAGAATTTAAGATTTTATCTGTCTGACACCACTGTACGACACTCCTGCGCGCACGAGAAAAGGGTGGCCGCGCGAGAGAGAGAGAGAGAGGGAATGAGCAGTGAACGTAAAGAACGACGCAGAGAAAGAGGGAATGGAAGGTGCATTTAAGTAACAAGTGGACGCGCGCGCGCGTCCACGAACAGGAGAGTTCTCTTATAAATCTTTCCGACCCTCTTAGAGCGTCTTTACGATCGACATGGATAGATATTTCCCGTATCGAAATTGAACATGATACTTTATCGTACACGTGACACGTGTGAAATGACACTTTCTTTTTTTCTTCGAATACGGATTTCTCGTACCGGAAATACAACAGGGGAAATAATTCATGCGAGAATCGAGAAATGACGAATAAGTGTGTCCATTGGCTTTATTTAAAGATCAATCACCCTTGCTCTTAATCGATAAATCAAATAACATATCTAACGCGCGTTTAAGCCAACATGAAAGGGGGGGAGAAGGGGGTTGTACAATGAAATTTAGGCGGGCATTGGGTTCGCTATGAGCGAGACGCTAATAGCGACGCGTACAAAAACTATGACTAATTAATATGCTTTGTATGTATATGCGCTTGTGTTGCATCTGTACATCGTGTGAAAGTATTCAACAAATTGTCAATTAGCTGCCTATAAACCAGAGCGAACTTTAAATTCATGTTAGCTGAAACATTGAAAAATATTGTAAAAAAAAAAAGCTCTATTCATACATTTCCTCTTCTACTCGTTTCTACTGAAGAACTATTAATTTACGTTTATGTGGAAGCGAAGAGGTTTATTTAAAACAAATCACATTCTTTTTTGTATGTGGAAGAGGACGTTATCATAAAGAGATGTATGCATTCACTCGAATGCGTCAACAATTTCGCAATTTGCCGCGTTATAATGCAAAAGTGCAAAATCTTGTCATTAATCTCTAGTACAATGTGAATATAATGGAGTTAATACAATGAGTTTAAATAACATAATAAATCGCAAGAATTTATATTATGCCTTTTTACTAGTGAAAAGGCATCGTATAAAATACATTGTACATATACATGTATATTGATCTTTGTAATTGAAACGCAATAAGTATAAAAGAAATAAATTTTACGATTTATTTAGCGAATCGCGATTAACTCTCGTTATATACTTTGTTATACAACTGCTCTCATAACATTAAAAATCTGCAAAATATTATATATTTAAATCAACTATTGGATGTTGAAACTAACAAGATGGCTGAAACATATTGTTATCTGAATATAACATTGCTAATACAGAAATAAAAAAAGATATTTATATGTATATAAATCGATGTTGCATGATAGCGATGTTTAAAGATTAAATAAAATAATGTAATATATAAATATTATATGTATATATATGCTCCTCTGTTAACAATTTCCAAGACTTAATTTGCACCACTTTTAAAATAACTATAGTTCCTATATATATAACAGGCTACAACTCTGCTATTATATATTATATACGATGATATAATTCATTTTATTGAGATATCGCTATGACGTAAGTTGTAAACAGAACTCAAACATTTATATTCGGAATAAAATACCGCACACACATAAACTAAACTCTAAATCAAGACGTAATAATTAGCTGCTAAATGTGAATAATATTTGTATAATATTATAGATTTTACAGTACAAAGTCGATAGATCGAAGACTCGTATTCGAATGATTTGCGTTACTGTAGTATTATAAGTATCAAATGGCAATATAAATCTATAATGTGCGTAACTCGTTCACGCTAAATCGCGCGTCAGTCAATTGCGGCTGATTAGAGTGTGGCTTATTCATCTGTAAAAACAACAGATTAATCTATCTCGCTCAAAGGCTCGCGCGCGGCATTGTGGAATATGCCCTCCTAAATTCACTGCTTATTAAATGTATATACATACGTACACACACACATACACACATACATATCTAAATATCTTAAAAAGATCGGATGTCCTTTCAATGAAACATATTTTTTGGCTAATTTGAACTCAATTTTTACTTAGAAAACATCAAGTTTTCAAATTTCGTGCAATTGAAAAACGAAAACTTTCTGTCAAATAAACTTTAAGGAAAACCAAATACATAAAAATATATTTTTCAATTAATTTCATAAATAGAATTTACTTTCATAAAATTTTAATTCGTAGCTTATGTCAAAAATTGCATAGAGTCAAGTAATAAATAGTATCTGTTCAAAATTTTTTTTTCAATGACGCGAAACGTACACTCTATACAATCACTGAAAGTCAATGATTGGTGATCATTAATTATAAAATACTAGTTTGAAAAGAGCATATTATCTCAATTCATTTATTCTTGAATTTGAATATATTAAATAATTTTTATGAATTGCACAAGTAAATCTACTTTGTAGTATCTTTTAGCTGCCTTTTGCTTCTATCAACAATATCTATAACAATGTCTCACTTTGTTGAATTCTTAACTATAAATGTCAAGTATACTGGTTCTAAAAGATTTGTATTATATTATATTATATACGATAAAAGATGTATGCAAGATAATCCCTTATTTTTCTCAATATTTTTGTTAAGAAAAAAATAATTGCAAATTGGTGAAATTGATGATTTATTACAAAAATATCCGATTTTTTTAAGACACGCTCCGCATATATGTATGTATATATAAAGTATATGTTATGCATTCTACACACAAAACGCATCACAGGCACGCACGCACGCATGCACCTATATTACCTATAGTAATTAACAAGACAATTCTCTTTCTTTTTCTTTCTCTCTTTCTCGCTCTCTCTAGTATTCTGCACTCAGCAGCTTTTATTTTTCATCAATTAATTCTAAGTTTAAGTGTACCTTAAAATTCCATATATGCTATGTGTTCTTTATCTGTGGAACGCGATTGGATCAGATTATGAATAACACGCGACCCTCTTTAGGGTTAAAAATGTGCCGCACATAGGGGAAAGGAGATATAATAATTATATATTTTGTCGTAATTTATGCATTTCATATTATCATTCAAACTGGTATATAAAATGATATTTAAAGTGGAAATAGAAACATATAGACTTGCCGCTCAGGGAGTATTAATAATACATACCAAAGCGGTATATAGGTATAGACTTATTAGTATAAGTACTCTTAAATAAAAAATCATATAGCAAAAAAAATGTTTTCTTGTATCAGCTTATCTTGAAACAAAGGTCAACAAGATTCCTGTTACGTGTTACGTAAAGAATTCTTAATTTAAATTTCTGCTGCTTGCATTATTACGAGAATATTATTATTGCAAAGATAGATAAAAAATGTTTGTTGTACAATTATCTTCAATATAACGCGTACGTGACAAAGTATTTTATAAAAATTTCTTGCAAAATACTGTTATATTCAGATCTGAAAACATACCAGTAACACAGATCCTCGAACACAGCAAAGACGCTCGAAAACGTGCCTCCGCAGCTACAATTTTATTTGATTTGATACATATGAATACTTTCCAAGTGCTTCTGCACATCTGGACGTATCATATAATTAATAAGTTATGTAATACGTTTCTATATTCGTTAGTACGGACAATAAATACAAAATGTTAATTAGCATACGTTACTCCTATTTCTGTACTAAATTATATTGCCTTGAAATTCTATCTGCAATTTTATTTTTTATAAAACTCTTGTTGAAAAAAAGCGTTGCGCGCCTATGCCTTCTAATCTTTTTTTTTCAAAAATTATATATTATAATCAAGAATGTTAATTATTTTTTATCATTGTAACAATCTCTCTATAAATATATCTCTCTGACATTCGGAACTGTTTCAGTTGGACAATGAATCATAAAACATATGGTTTGTCTTATTTTAATAACTGAATAAGCTATGAGTAAAAAATTTCGACTTCTATCATATATATTGATTTAACAAAGGACGGAAATAGAAAAATGTCAACTGGAATGTACGTGTATTGATGAAAATCAAATTCCTAGAAAAGAAGATCAGACTTCTTGTATGTTATAATTACATATTATAAATTGTAAGAATAGTTGGAAGATGCATGTTGGAAAACCAAATTGTTTGCACAACATGCTTGTACTACATGCAACATATAGTACAAATCATGATTATACATTCAATATATCTATACTCGTTTTAAAAAATTTATTCCCCTCCCCTTTTGCCATGTCAGTATCTCGTGTATTATTTTCTTGAAGATACACGCGCTAATTTATCAGATAGAATAGAGTGATATGTTCTACATTATCACTCATTTCTAATATTGTCCATTATAAAAAAAAAAAGAATTAACAAAAAACCAAATACATAAAAATATATTTTTCAATTAATTTCATAAATAGAATTTACTTTCATAAAATTTTAATTCGTAGCTTATGTCAAAAATTGCATAGAGTCAAGTAATAAATAGTATCTGTTCAAAATTTTTTTTTCAATGACGCGAAACGTACACTCTATACAATCACTGAAAGTCAATGATTGGTGATCATTAATTATAAAATACTAGTTTGAAAAGAGCATATTATCTCAATTCATTTATTCTTGAATTTGAATATATTAAATAATTTTTATGAATTGCACAAGTAAATCTACTTTGTAGTATCTTTTAGCTGCCTTTTGCTTCTATCAACAATATCTATAACAATGTCTCACTTTGTTGAATTCTTAACTATAAATGTCAAGTATACTGGTTCTAAAAGATTTGTATTATATTATATTATATACGATAAAAGATGTATGCAAGATAATCCCTTATTTTTCTCAATATTTTTGTTAAGAAAAAAATAATTGCAAATTGGTGAAATTGATGATTTATTACAAAAATATCCGATTTTTTTAAGACACGCTCCGCATATATGTATGTATATATAAAGTATATGTTATGCATTCTACACACAAAACGCATCACAGGCACGCACGCACGCATGCACCTATATTACCTATAGTAATTAACAAGACAATTCTCTTTCTTTTTCTTTCTCTCTTTCTCGCTCTCTCTAGTATTCTGCACTCAGCAGCTTTTATTTTTCATCAATTAATTCTAAGTTTAAGTGTACCTTAAAATTCCATATATGCTATGTGTTCTTTATCTGTGGAACGCGATTGGATCAGATTATGAATAACACGCGACCCTCTTTAGGGTTAAAAATGTGCCGCACATAGGGGAAAGGAGATATAATAATTATATATTTTGTCGTAATTTATGCATTTCATATTATCATTCAAACTGGTATATAAAATGATATTTAAAGTGGAAATAGAAACATATAGACTTGCCGCTCAGGGAGTATTAATAATACATACCAAAGCGGTATATAGGTATAGACTTATTAGTATAAGTACTCTTAAATAAAAAATCATATAGCAAAAAAAATGTTTTCTTGTATCAGCTTATCTTGAAACAAAGGTCAACAAGATTCCTGTTACGTGTTACGTAAAGAATTCTTAATTTAAATTTCTGCTGCTTGCATTATTACGAGAATATTATTATTGCAAAGATAGATAAAAAATGTTTGTTGTACAATTATCTTCAATATAACGCGTACGTGACAAAGTATTTTATAAAAATTTCTTGCAAGATACTGTTATATTCAGATCTGAAAACATACCAGTAACACAGATCCTCGAACACAGCAAAGACGCTCGAAAACGTGCCTCCGCAGCTACAATTTTATTTGATTTGATACATATGAATACTTTCCAAGTGCTTCTGCACATCTGGACGTATCATATAATTAATAAGTTATGTAATACGTTTCTATATTCGTTAGTACGGACAATAAATACAAAATGTTAATTAGCATACGTTACTCCTATTTCTGTACTAAATTATATTGCCTTGAAATTCTATCTGCAATTTTATTTTTTATAAAACTCTTGTTGAAAAAAAGCGTTGCGCGCCTATGCCTTCTAATCTTTTTTTTTCAAAAATTATATTATATTATAATCAAGAATGTTAATTATTTTTTATCATTGTAACAATCTCTCTATAAATATATCTCTCTGACATTCGGAACTGTTTCAGTTGGACAATGAATCATAAAACATATGGTTTGTCTTATTTTAATAACTGAATAAGCTATGAGTAAAAAATTTCGACTTCTATCATATATATTGATTTAACAAAGGACGGAAATAGAAAAATGTCAACTGGAATGTACGTGTATTGATGAAAATCAAATTCCTAGAAAAGAAGATCAGACTTCTTGTATGTTATAATTACATATTATAAATTGTAAGAATAGTTGGAAGATGCATGTTGGAAAACCAAATTGTTTGCACAACATGCTTGTACTACATGCAACATATAGTACAAATCATGATTATACATTCAATATATCTATACTCGTTTTAAAAAATTTATTCCCCTCCCCTTTTGCCATGTCAGTATCTCGTGTATTATTTTCTTGAAGATACACGCGCTAATTTATCAGATAGAATAGAGTGATATGTTCTACATTATCACTCATTTCTAATATTGTCCATTATAAAAAAAAAAGGAATAACAAAAAATATAATGTAAACTACAACTACTTCAAAAGAAGTAGAAGACACTTAAAGATTGTGCGATATTATCGTAGAACAGCTGCATCTGGAAACTTATTGGAACTTGCTCCGATATGTTTCCATATAAAAGTAAAGCACTTTTTCCTCCCAATAAGAGACGATGAAGGAAACTATGATCGAAGCAAAATATAAATCACGCGAAAATATGTTTTACATATGCATTAATCTGTACAATACAAAACCGAATATTACTATTCAATTTAGAGTGTAATATAATATGTCACTCTCATTTCTCTCAAAATAAAATGCAACAAAAAGATATAATATGTCTATATATGTCGGTAAATATTTCTGTCTTTAACATTCTTATAGGATAATAGGTATCCAAATCTCTCGACGCCATTCGTATTCGTTCATGGATTCCTCCTCGTAAATTGCATTTACTCGTATTCGAACATGTACCCTGCACTAAACAAATATCTTATCTCGCATATCAGTGACAATAGCCAAGCTTACTTATGGCAACTCTGGTCAATTAGAAAACGAAGGCAGTGATAATTATGAGTTGAGGCCCTGACGTTTTTCCTCTTCGAGCATCGCATCGAGTTCATCCGTAAGATTGGCAAGCATATTCCCAATGTCGTTCAGAACGTCCGCAGGTTCGCCACTAGAATGATGATTGAGTACGTGACCGCCGATACCGCTATTCGATCCACCCGGTACGTATTCTTGTGCTCGGCCGGCCCTTTGCTTTATCGTGCCTGCATTCTCATTTGCAAACGGCAAAGAGTCTGATTCTGTACTGGAACTTGACTGTATAAACATAAAAATAAAATACATAACAAATATTACATAGATGAAAAAATATTCAATGTTACAAACGTAACATTCTTCAAGTATCAACATACCTTAAAACTAGCATCCGATCCATTGCGATGCTGTAGAGCGAGAGAAGCGATTAATTCGTGTTCCTCGTTAACGTTCACACTGACGCTACCCCATGAACGTGACATGGAGGAAGGCGGTCGATTTAGTTGCGGCGGTGTAGAAGGCGCAGGCGTGGGTGCTGGCGGTGGTGGCGGTGGGTGATGAAGCAAATGGTGATGCTGATGCTGATGATGATGCTGATGAATGTGATGATCATCGCAGGAAGCTGTCGGTACTGGTCCGCTACAATCTATCACGACGTCGCCAATTGCTGTACCTACACCTACTATGGAAGAACTAGTTGTGTCTCTGGAACTTTGCCGTCTCGGGGGCGACGGAGGACATCGTTTCGGAAGGTGCGGACTACTCTCCAGTCCGTAAGTTAATTGATACTTGTTATCCAAATCTCTTGGCAAAGATTTGTATTGTCCTGGTGTTGCGGTGACCTGAAATCACAGATACGCGCACACATGTATATATACACATGTACAAATACTGGAAAACTCGTGCGATTGTGACTTGTATTATATACAAACTATTCAAATCTGGACAGATAAATCTTTCTCACTCAGATATTAATACATATTTTGAACATATATTATATAAATTAATTGAATTAATACCTTGGCTACAGGCCGCGGACGAACGAGGCAATGTCTTGGTCGTGGAAGTGTGCCACCGCCGCCACCGGTATCTACAGCGGAAGCATCATTCGTGGGTGTAAGATCGCCATCCTCGAAACTGCGTGGACGCCAATCGAGGGGTTGTGGATGCGAAGCTGGGGCCGGTGACGGAGGATAACCGAGAGGCGCGTCTTCTAAGCTTTCCAAAGATTTTCCACGAGAGCCAGTACGACCGACTGTACCATAATCAGCTGGAAGTGCAGCGTACATACTCCTCCAAGTAGCACCGCAAGTAGTATCGCTCCCACCTCTTTGGAAAGATCTAAGTACAGGGGAGGAACAATCCTCATCGGGCGATGGCAGATCAGGCCCGCCTCGTTGAATAACAACATCCTAAAAAAAAAATCAATCGCTGCAATATAATCTTTTATTATATAAAACAATTGAGAGAGATTACAACTTCTCAATGGATCTAATATAAAAACAATAGAGAGAATATGACTTACCTGCGTATGTCCAGGATGTGGCGGTAAACGTGCAAGGTCAAGCGGCTGTATACGCTTGCCAGCGCGTATATCCTTAACTCTCTTAATCGCCAGCAATAATTTTTTTTGATGCCCTAGACGTACGATACCAATGTCCTCGAGGTCCTCCCAAGTAAGGGTTGTCACGTCCTCGACGGAACGCATGCCCTGCTGATGAAGAGCACCAAGGTATTCCTCGAGCCTAAGAAGTCTGAGCCATTCTTCTAGCGATCCGGGTACATGTTCCGGCAATCCATCTCCTATATTCAAATTGTCTATCTCCGCTTTTAGCCGCTTTCTGTGATTAGGTTTTTTAATACCTGTAACATATAAATGAGAGTAGATGCGAGTGTCGCAATATGAGTAGACTTACTAATGCGATACTCGACTCACCTATAGCCGTGAGATCCTCCGGTGTCATACGTGTTATAGTAGCAAGGTCGTAACCTGCAGAAGCAAACAAAGGAAAATATTCCTCAAATTGGAGCTCGGTTAACCAAGCGTGAACGACATCAAGGTCCGCCGGTCGGTCGGGATGACTTCCGAGGGAACTGATAGAGCATCTGGGAGACGAGGCAAGAGCACCGGGTCCCCTGGGTCCCAAATGATATCCAGATGCTCTTCCAGAATCCAGCGATGCCGTAGAATGTCTAGAACCGGAACCTGATCCAGAACTACCAGGACTGTCCCTGCCGGGACTCTGGGTCATATCGATACCTAGGTAATATAAAAAATAATTGATCTATTATAATCATATTATTTCTAATACTACTTTCATATTAATATAATTCTCTTCGTTAATTATATAATATTTAAATTCTTTCTTAATTAAGATTTCTGTCTTTTTCAATCTGCAAATATTCAAAAATTAGGCTATAATTTTTTTTTAAATACTGTTGTAAAAAAAGAACAATTAATTGAGAAACGTAAAAATGTCTTCCTTTTTTTAATATATTTTTTCAACTTTTAGACGTTATTTATTGTAAGTAATTATAATAAATTTAGTCATACATTTTATATAATAAAGCTTCCGGTGATTTCACAAAGTTAGAACAAACTGGTGCCAAGAGATTCGATTTTAGTGAACACAGAACAAATCAATTCTTGCGATAGTGAACCAAAAATAGATCAATACGAATACAACCGTAATAGAAGATGAATGAGAGGAAGTATAAAGAAAGGAGAGAATTTATATCTTACGTTTTAGCACGAAAATATAACAAATAATAAATTTAAACTGAACTGATTTTCATCAGCCATAAATATATGCTCATATTCGAAGGACGCGAATGCAATCCAATAATGTAGGACACTTCATGCAGTGCAAAAATACTGGTATGGGTCATTGATAACCGATTGTTCAACACTTATTTTAATCAAATTTTTAGCATTTTAATAAAAAAATTTAAATTATATCTCCTTGTTAAAAAAAGATTGATAAAAGGATCATTTTCAATATGTAAAAAAATTTTGCTATGTAGGGTTCTGAAGAGTGAATATGGTGTAGTCCAAATATATTGTACACTGCCTTACTTTGTCGAGAATCCTGTTATACTCACTACGGCAAAATTGTTTTCAGATTAATCGAAATAAAAGTTAGTTTATTTAATCGAAATGGCAAATTATATCACAGGAACATAAAAATATAGTCATGTAATATTTGACGTTGTTTTTTGTACTTTCCGCAATAAAGATTAAACCTAATATTTCACGATTCTCATATATAATGTACGTTCATCATCGTATAACTCGCACCTTGATCTTCGGCGTGGGCATATTTGCCGATCACAGGCGGAAAGGCGAAGCCAGGATGGGTAAAAATAGGTCCCGGACTTTTTCCAGATGGCATCCCGTAGGAACCATCGTCCGTCGTACCTCCGGGGCCGCTTCCAGAGAGGAAGCAGCTATCCTCGCTGCTAGCATATCCAGCCGAGCCAAAAGAGGAGCCCGAGTGTCGAAACACGTCTGGTACAGCCGGTGGTGCTACTTTCTTCGCTTGAGTCACGGCTTTGGACGGCCGGCTCATACCGCCAACTGTAACATATGCAGCAGGAAGAAAAAATTTTAATCGATTATGTACGATATATACGATAACACACGCGTGTTCGTGGAGATTACAATGAAAGAAAATTGATGATGAAATGTGTAGAATTTTTTGCGAAATTTGTTTTATAAATTATGTCTCATAATTACACAATATGTGCGCGCAACATTTTCTGTTTGTTGAAATTGTGACATCGAGAAATCCTGGTACGCGCGCGGGATGCAATTACAAAATTAGTTTTATAAATTAATGATAAAGAATTTTCAGAATTATAACAATTTTAATTCAATTATAATGATTATTTACTGTATAATTTTTTTATACGTTTTTAATTTACGTATTTCTTTAGATTTGTTACGATTGTATTATTAATAACGCGAAATATCCTGTATATCGTATAAATAAAAATATCAAAGTTTAAATGGCAGAATGTTGTATGAGTATATCCATCAACATTCAACGATATTGCCGTAACTAGTTAGGTAAGTTGCTTTGTGTAAAACATGCAGAAATATTTATAAATATTTAGTTTCAAACATTTATTTATATGATGATCCATATATAAATACATAGTGCGTGATAGCTCTTATATTTTCACTAAATTAAAAAAAATTATAGATAATCGTGAAAATGTTATCACAGAAAGTATCTGGAAACAAACTATAAATAAAAGCATGTTTATCCAATAGTTGCAAAATTACTGCAATATTTGCAATAAGTTTTTTCTTTTTATATTGTATGTGCAATAAATAAAAGTTAAATAAAATAATACCGTTCTTTAAATAATTAACTGTCAAAAATGGATATAAAATATGACAGTATATATATTTGGTCATGTATTATATATCAATTTATAATCAGAGATTCAGTGCTCTTTTTGTAAATATTCCATATCATTTATAATTTAAAAGAAAATTTAATACTTCAAAAATTCGAAATCGTATAAAACGAATGTAAGACCGAAAGTTTGATACGTGTCGACGACTTCAAGAAACAAACATTCAAGTAATAAATAATCCTGTGATCAAAGAGCTTAAATCAATAATAATTATTTTCAATAATAATTATTTTTTAAAAATTACATAATAATAATGAATTTAATTGACATCGAATCTTTCTAATATTGTATGTGTCTACATTTCATTAAGTAACCAAATAAAATATTTTTGTTTTAGACATATATTTCACACCATGAGTTGGACGAATCCTTCAAATGTGGACAATATATAAAACAGTTGTGCCTAGTAAAGTTATAGGCGGAATACATCATAGTAGCTGAAAAAAAGGATCATTTGACAAGGTGATTAACACATCGCTCTTTCTTAACATTCCACAACTATAGATGAAACGAAAACCTTGTATAGATATAAAAGATACTGGCCTTACATATAGGAAGACGAGAGAAAAAAGAAAAATGGAATAAAAGGAAAGAGAAGAGAGGAGACTGGTGTCACACACAATCTGCAGGATGTGTCAATTCGTTACGTAAACAGGAAAAATCTTCTTCATTTCGTGAAACTTCGTTTTCCTTCTCATACTTGTTTTTCTAAGAAAAGATCATTCAGGTCACATCCAATCGATCTCGTTCATCCGGCTGTTTTATCTTACACGCGATTCGAAGACATTGAAAATATGTAACATTAGCGACAAGAAAAGGAAAAAAAGAGAAAGATATCCGCGTGATATAAGACTTTACAAGATATTTCTACTTCTAAACATAATTTTTTGACATATATACGATACGCGAATAAAATATAAATCGTGAGTACAATTTTATTCAGATAATAAAATAGAGATTTGTTTTAGAAGAAAAGAAATTCGCGATTTAAAAGAGTATTTATCTGGACTCCATCGGGTTCTTTTGCGATACATATTGGTACATGTACTAGTTTTCAGATCGCTTCTGCGATCGACGCTTCTGCGAGCGCGGAATGCACAGCTCACAATGTGCTTACTGTGTGAAAGTTGTATGTAGGTTCGGCGATAACCGAAGGAGGCGTAATTCACCAACGAAACTCGAATCATAAATATCGAGCAGCGAAACAGTAATTTGTTAATTCGTTCGATGACTGATAAAAGTTATCGTATCATGTTCCGACTCATTACTCAGAGCCGCTATAAAAACTGATATATAATACTCTTACTAGAAATAAAATAAATAATAACTTCCTTATTATTTCGAAAAACGATATATATTCATTAAAGAAAAATATAAATATAAATTTAAATTCTCAATATCTACAAATCTCTCTCTCCCTCTCTCTCTCTCTCTCTTGAAGAGATATCTCAGATATCGAAGTAAGAGCAGCGATTTAGCGGAGTTTTCTCCTCGCTCAAAATTGTAAATTTCTCGTTCTTAATCGATATTCCCTCCCGTTTGTGGTTACATCCCGACACGATATCCGCGCACTTACGGTACAAGAGATTTTTCCAACTGCCGTAAATTGCCTTGATGCATTTGTCCAGGGGCGTATTGCTCGGCAACGCGGCTGTCGTTTCACGAGCTCGTAAGTTGCCCTCGGAGCAGCTTCTGAACAGGCTCTGGTTAACTGCAATCGCTCCGACTGTCGTCTCGCGCGAGCGCAGCTTCGCCATCGGATCTTCCGAAGCTCCATGAAGGAGCCAAGCCTCCACGGCAGGGTCGCGAAAACTTTTGTAAGTGGACGACAATTTTCTCGAGGACTTTTGCAGGAATCGCTTCCCGGGTGGCAAGGGCGGGGGACCCAGACAGCTGGCTACGGCGGTGATCGCCATTTACACCATATCACAACCTGTTTCGATCGTTTCCAAACATAGACGTGATTCTTCTGACGATTAGTCACTATTTATTGATGAATACGTGATCGAATACCGTTCACCAAATGTCGCTACCGTTCACATACCTTCGTGATTGCGTTTATCAGTGTGATAAGTACGGAACGTATGGATGTAATTTCAGACACATTCGTAACGTCGAAGAGATTAATTGCACAGATATATTATCGAGACAAAAAAGTCGGGCTTTACAATAACGTCAATTTCGATGAGCAATTCCGTAGAAAAATTTTTCTTCAAAATATATAACTTCATTCAGTTATTACTTCTCTTCATTCCGTTAAATTCATATATTTTTATTATTTGATTTAATAAGATTGAGATTCGATGAACATTTTTATGCCACCATTAAAATCACTATGTACACTAAACGATCATTAGATGAGATCGTAATCAACTATATCTGTTCATCCATTAACGGATTAATAGTCTTTATTAAATTAATCATTATATGCAGACGACACAATAAAAATATTCGATTGCTCAGAGAGTGCTTGAAAATTCAATGACGATTCTGGATATAAACGTTGATTGGATTAATCACTTTCTCGATAGAACAGCAAGCACTTGCAGATCAATCCGTTCTTTAAAGACTTAAGGAAACACACGATACTGTATTCAATGAATCGGATAGCTAACTATCTCGCAGAAGGGAAGCACAATGACAGTTCCTATTCGGAACTGTCAGAAAGTACGGTTTAGATAAGCGCAGGCGCGTATACGGTGTCAGTGAAACGGCACGTTGGTGGTGGCGAGAGGGCGAGGTCGAATGGTGGGTGAACGGGTTCCAGAACCCAGCGTGGGCCGCCCCTGCTAGGCTACCCGCGTAGGTAGCTTTTGAAAAGCGCGGCATGCAAATCGACGCAACATATGGAAATATTGAGAGAACGATGAGGATCGGCTCGTAAGAGAAGGAGGACTTAATATTTTACTCCCTGCGCAAGGCAGAAGGAGAGAGAGAGAGAGAGAGGAACGACGAGAGATTTCATTGATCGAGCGACCGGCTGACAGGCCTCGCGAGACGACAAGTACGCGATCCACGATCCGCAGGAAACGAAGCGCATTTTTTCCCTCCCATTAATAAAGGCTGTCGATATGATTTAAATGTTTCCTTTCTAGAACGCGCGTTGGTGCGACGCCGTGACTCCGATTACGAAGGGAATGTTTCGGTTAAAAGTGAGGAAATGTAGATATGGAAGTAAGATGCAACATAAAGATAAGAATTGCAATCGCAAGTTTTGATTCTTAATAACGTAAAAATCTATCTTTGGAAATTAATTATAACAAAAATTTTTTTAGCATGTGGATAATAGAATAAGTTCCCAAAGTTTTTTGCCATTTATTTCATGGGCATTCTATATATACTATAATATACGATATAATCCGTATATCACGATTATCTGAAATATTATTTTGATAATTAATTATGTCTTTACAAAATAAATTTTGTTTTATTTTGAAAAGCTGACAAAAAAAAAACAAAATGTTTTTAAATAGATTTTTTGAGATAAATTTCAAAATATCTTTATTAAAAAAATAAAGATATCTTAAACTATCTATTTTTGTTATATTTTTCTATTATGGTTTTATAAAGAGTTTAACAAACTAATATTATGTAATCTTGAATTGTGCGTATGTGCGTGTATTATATATTGCACTTTTGTTAATCTGTACTTGTCAGATTTACAAAGATCAGATTTCAAGCATTTTTTCTTTCGATTTACTTAAATATATACTCTAGTTTAATTGAGCGCTATAAATATAATATAAATTATATAATAAAAAAATGCAAGGAAAAAGATTACTTTACGTGTGTAAGAATAATCTGATAATATACTTATTATATTTATTAATGTCGATATATATCAATATTTGAACATTATCAAAATCAAACAGTAATATAAATGACTACATTATAATTTATTAAAGTACTATTATTTGTTTATTTTTGCGCTTTTAAAGAATATTAATCTTGTATATCAAAACGTTTAAGAAATAACAACTAATTTATTTGTCAATTAATTATGTCAAAACGGATGTTATCGATTTTAATTAATCCGATTAATAAAAAGTTTTATCGAGTTCGTAGATAACCATCATAGTATGTCAGCGATTGCGATGAAACAATTGTCATTGTGGACGCGGCTTTAAGGATGCTGGACATCTCTAAGAGCGAACAAGAAGAGGAAATAAAAAAAAAATATATACGCCGCAATCTACGACCGGCCCGTGTAATCTGCATAATGCATCGGGGTGGACGATCGCTTAAGTGGATCCTCGTCAAGGACGAGCAGGAACAAGTTACCTTGCTCTGCAATTATGATCGATAATTTGATCGTTTTGTATTACTAATATTTTTATCTTTTATTTATCGTTTCTTGTTTCGAGAAAGAAAGAGATAGCACGGAAAGAACTACCGTCGAAAAACAAGTTACGAGAGGTGTCTTCAATATCCGTAACACGAGAATTGGACTGAGTTCTCTTTATAATTTTTTATTTATGGCGCGGTTAAAAAATCGTGTGAAAAATAATACAACCGTATTTTTTGCTGAAATCAAACGTTCTCCCCATTTTTTCTTGTTCAAATAATACATGCGCAAAATGAAAATGTCATTGCATTGAGATCATGTAGATACGCATGATGTACTTTGTCTTTCATTATCTACTCTACATATCATCACGTGGCAAATATGAAATATGGAGGAGTTCCACGGAAAACAAATGTGTTGAGAATACGCATATAGAATAGGATGTTAAAAATACGGTTGTATCATATAATTTGATACCTTCGTGACAAGAGATAACACTAACTAAGTAAGACACAGATCGATAATTAAGCGATACAGCGAATAATTGCGAATAGGAGCATTACCGATAACATTCTCGCCGCGGTCACCGGAAAAGTATGTCAACGAGAATATCGTTACCATAATAAAAAAAAAAAAAAAAAAAAAAAAGAAAAAGAAAAAATGGAAAAAGAAAAATGAAATAATAATCCTATATTACCATATACTGTATGTAATTTCCCTTGGCATTTGATTAGAATATTCCAATACCAGTATACGTTATTGCATGTGAAAAAAGTGTAATATTTTTCTTTTTGAATAATGCCATGGCTACAATCAGCTTGCGACACAGTTCTCGAAGAAATTTTTCTTTTAAACGTTAACATGATTTTCAATAAAAATAAAAGCGCCATATGCATATGAGAGAACTTGGTTCTCCGTAAATCAATAAAAAATAACATAGTTATATTAAATTATAATGATTTGTTATCACATTTAATAGCTAGGAACTCAACGACATTTTTCAAATTGTAGAAGTAAAATTTAATTAAATTAAAAATAAATTAAATTTTTTATTTAGTTTTTGTATTTAGATAATTTTTAAATTTTTAAAATTTCTATTTTGGATGAACTTTATAGAAGTTTAAATTACACGTATCTCCTATTTCATTCACGTCACGGAGTTTCATAAAATAGATGTAGATGTGAGAGAATAATTATTAATTATATATGCATCTATTTTGAGTATTAGTTAAATATGTAATTATTATAACGCAATTCTCTAAATTTAACAAATTTATGTTAATGATAATACAAAATTTTATTACATCATCTACAATGTGAAAGCATCAGATTGGACGTGTGATGCAATTTCTACAAAATCGAATTGTGTATATATTGGAAATACGCGAAAGAAATAGAAATGCATTCCGTCGTAATGAACTCTTTTACGTTGTCTTTAATTAATTTCGTTCTATGGATCAAACAACAGATTAATGCATTTCAAGGTTGCGCCTATGGAAGTTAGCAAATTGAGGTCATATATGTACACATTGTGGTATGAAGTAAATGTGAAATTCGCAGTTTCAAGAATTCCAGACATATGCTACGATCGTGACGGTAAACTTAAAGCAGAGAGAACGTAATAAGAACTTTCGATGTAGAAAGTTTTTGCAGTTACAAATAAAATATATTGTGCGAGTTTAATGCGAGAGAATTTATTAATCAAGAAATTTTTCGCTGAAGAAAGAAAAAGAGAAAGATCATGAATCACACAATTGAAATAATTAATAACTATTACAATAAAAAAAAATTGATTTAATGTAAAAGAAAGTCTCTCTCTTCTGTCTCTCTCTCTCCTTTTGCAATAAAAAATATAATTTCAAAAAATAAAACGTTCCACTTTTTGAAATATATTTCTAAATATGTGTCCATCTTATGAAATAATTTTTTGTTGGCAATGCAAAGCAGAAATCATGTTTTTTTTTTTTCGTCGACATACGAACTCGTTTTCATTCCTCATTCATTGCGAAATTTGCGAGCACAAATTAAATATATCGGAATGTTTGACATGTTACAGAGCAAAAAAAAATGAAGGAAAAGCTTCTCTCGTCAAATTGATTCGTTTCGAGTTTCGAAGAACTTTCGTAAGCGTGGGTAGACGAGGTTAGATATAGGTGTACCTATATCTACCTACAGTTCTGATCTCTTTTTTGCTTTCAATCCCTCCCTCTTCTATCCGCCCGCGTATGTCTGATACGATGAATACGGATCGAACGCGATCCTTTAAAGAGAGAGAGAGAGAGAGAGAGAGAGAGAGAGAGAGAGAG